GCCCCGAAATTCGAAAATTTTAGTTTTAGAAGCGGCGTATGTTTGACCATGTTTGACCACCCTCAGAAACCTAAATATTTAAAAAAATATTAATGGCCGAGTGCCCGCTGGCCCCCCGAAATTAATATTTTTTAAAACTGACTGCACCATAAGATTAACCAATTTTTTACCATGTTTGACCACCCCTTAGATTTTTTTTAACACCACTTAAAATAATTTAAAGGGGGTAAATTATAGAAAAACAAGTTCTGGGATGAATTTCAACTTTGAAAGATAGATCAATGGTTAGAAAGTCACAATATGATCAAGAAAGGTTTAAAATTATGTATCGCCGTTTGATCACTCCCTAAAATATCTTAAAAGATCTTAGAGGGGTTAAAAATTCAATCGACATAAGGACATAGTAAATATCCATAAAAGTTTAAAATTGTGTTTTGACGTTTGACCACCCCCTAAAATAATTTTAGTGTTCCCAAGTAGTGTGAAAATTCGAAAAATACAATTTGGAAAGGGCATTTTGACTTGGAAAAAATGTTCAAACGACCTAAGTACACAATGAAGATTTATAACAATTTATAATTATGTTTTGATGTTTGAACACCCCCTAAAAAAATTTTAATGTGCCCAAGTAGTGTGATAATTCGAAAAATAAAATTTGAAATCGAATTTCGGCTTGGAAAAAATGGTCAAACGATAGCCCAATCGGATTAGGTGAAGAACAGGCTTGAGATTCTGAAAAATTCGAAGCAGCAATTTTCCTTCGGAATTCGTTGGAGGGGGTCTCTGGTAGTCTAAATTCAAAAAGTTGGGATTCCAAAGTTGTCGTTACCTCCGCCATCTTGATTTAAAGGGTTATTTTTTGTATCTTGAATAACTCATTTATTTTCAATTTTACACGGAAAATAGTTTTTACAAAAGTTATTTAAAATTAAATTTCCTACAATTCTGCTTTTTTTTTGTACGATCGATTTTTTTCGATTTATACCCGAAAAGAGGGGGTGAATTTTTGGTTATAGAATAACTCGTTTATTTTCAATTTTACGAGAAAAATTGTTATAAACAAAGTTGTTTAAAATTAAATTTCCTACAATTCTGTTTTTTTTGTACGCTCGATTTTTTTGTATTTATCCCTGAGAAGAGTGGGGGTAAACTCTTAGAAAAAATCGGAATCATAATTGTACCAAATAACATTTTTGAAAATCAGCAAAAAAAAACAAACCGAAAAAATAATGGTACAACATCAATAATAAACGTGACAATACAATACTTAGGTTCACCCCCACTCTTCTCAGGGATAAATACAAAAAAATCGATCGTACAAAAAAAAAAAACAGAATTGTAGGAAAATTAATTTTAAACAACTTTGTCTATAACAATTTTTCTCGTAAAATTGAAAATAAACAAGTTATTCTATAACCAAAAATTCACCCCCTCTTTTCGGGTATAAATCGAAAAAAATCGATCGTACAAAAAAAAAGCAGAATTGTAGGAAATTTAATTTTAAACAACTTTGTAACAATTTTTCTCGTAAAATTGAAAATAAACGAGTTATTCTATAACCAAAAATTCACCCCCTCTTTTCGGGTATAAATCGAAAAAATCGATCGTACAAAAAAAAGCAGAATTGTAGGAAATTTAATTTTAAATAACTTTTGTAAAAACTATTTTCCGTGTAAAATTGAAAATAAATGAGTTATTCAAGATACAAAAAATATCCCTTTAAATCAAGATGGCGGAGGTAACGACAACTTTGGAATCCCAACTTTTTGAATTTAGACTACCAGAGACCCCCTCCAACGAATTCCGAAGGAAAATTGCTGCTTCGAATTTTTCAGAATCTAAAATACTAATCCGATTGGGCTACGACATAAATGCGCAATAAGGCACCATAATTGTTTAAAATTATGTTTAAATGTTTGACCGCCCCCTTAAAGTTTTAGTGTTTCTAAGTAGGGTGAAAATTCGAAAAATAAAATTTGGAAATCGAATTTGCAGTTGTAAAAAATGGTCAAAGGACATAAGTTTACAATAAAGATCCAAAACTATATGGGCGATTCTCGTGTAACTGTGATTTTTACAAATTAAAGTTTTCTAAAATTAAAAATGTTTTAAAACTTATGTTTTACGCGTTTTTGTTTTCTATTTATGCACAGAAATAAGCCTGTAAAGTGGTTATACTACAGCTACAACACACCGAAAACTGTGACAAAATTTTAAAATTTTAATGCCACGGTACTGACATTATTTCCACGGTACTGACATATAAATTACTATTTTTTTTTACCAATCGAAAAATTGGTATAAAATTGCAATAAAATTTAATGCAGTTTGCATTAGATTGTAGTTATAACAGGTAAATTTTATATTAAAAAATGAATTTTGATAAAAATGTATAAATTTAACTTCAAAAATGAGAATTGGAGATGCCACGGTACTGACATTTTGAGTATATTTATATGCAGCTTAAAAAAAATTACGAAGGTTTATGATCTAATTCATAATGTCGGTTGTAAAATACCTCTAAATTTTTAATATTAATAACTTTTTGATGAGGAAAACTTATGCTAAACGATAAATAAAATACCGGACATAAAAAATCACAGTTATCCGAGAATCACCCACATTATGTTATGACGTTTGACCTACCCCTAAAATAATTTTAATGTGCCCAAGTAATGTTAAAAATCGAAAAATCGAATTTCGGCTTGGAAAAAATGGTCAAACGGCTTAAATGCGCAATAAGGCACCATAATGGTTTAAAATTATGTTTTGATGTTTGACCAGTGGCGGCTCGTGGGCACTAGCGGCAGTGGGGCACACACTGGAAAGGAATTCCGGGATTCGTTTTTCCCTTAGGAAAACAAGTTCTCCGCTTAATGAAAATTAAATATATTTCAAAACATACAGTTGGGGCAATAACGATTTCTGAATGTGACTACAGGGAGCTAAATGTGACCACTCAAAATGCATTTAACTATGTATGTGGCTATTTAATCAAAAAATCATTACATATCCACTCTTGCGAAATTTGCGTAAATTTCTCAGAAGAATGCAATTTACTTAACAATTCTAACTTGTTAACGCATTTTTAAGCATACGACTCTGAAGAAGAGGTGTTTGACAATTCAAAATCTCCCAGCGAAAAATTTCTTTTATATTTTCAAATTAGAAAAAATATATCTATATTTGATAGTTTGTCAACTAAGCCTGGAATTTCCAACGCATACCTTTTTGAGATGAGCAAAATAAAATTTGGCCATCCTTGCTAACAATTTGCGAAAATGTACACCATTAAATAATTTATAAGACTTAGAATTTTTTATACTCTTAAATATGCAGAGATTTGAAATCCTCGAAAAAGTCAGACAAAACCAAAAGAAAAATTAAAATTTTGTCCCATTTATAAATATTATTGATTTTTGTTGTTTCATCATATTTTTGATTGCTTTATAAAAAAAGTTATTTTTTTTGTAGTTTTATTTCTTAACTATTCCAATGGTCCAACTAACGTTTTTTCGTAATCACAATAAATAAATTATCATGGTCCAACAAACTCGCACCTTAAGCCGCTGCGTATATTCGTATCTGGTCTAGGTAATCTGTGCCATGGGTACAGCACGTCACGCTGAGGACAGCGCCCCGCTTGTGACGTATAATCCATCACATGTGTTCATCTCTTGCTAAGCGATATTGTCGTTGTCCTTGTTTTTCGCATCATAATGATAGAGAAAACAACAGAGGCACACATTTACTGTGCCCATCTTCCACTTAATTTCGGAATTCTCGGAACGTGGCTCAACGCCTGGTCGTCCAGTGTCGTGCCAACGCGGTTTGCGCAGAATATTAGATAAAATAATAATAGGCATTGAGGAAAATATAAAATATGTAAGTTATTTTTTGTTTGTTTATTATACTAAGGAACGTGCCCAAGTGCCAAACTGCCACTGTGTTTGACCACCCCCTTAAATAGTTTTAGTGTTTCTAAGTAGTGTGAAAATTCGAAAATTAAAATGTGGAAATCGAATTTCTACTTGGATAACATGGTTAAACGACATAAGTTTTCAATAAAGATCTATAACGATTTAGAATTATGTTTTGACGTTTGACCACCACCTAAAATAATTTTTTACGTCGAATTGATCTTTGTATTAATGAATGTGGCCGTCATATTGAACATTTATTATAAAAAACGTTTTGTCTTCGTTTCCTCTGCCAACTAAATTTTGTATTACAATTTTATTAAACTTTTACTAGGAATATCTGTTAGCATTATTTTAGTCCTTCCTCCTTTGCGGAATACGAAATTTTTACAAAAGTAACGAATCGAAGATAATTAATCAGTCTTCTCGTTTAAAAAATTTGAGAACCGTATTACCACCCCTAAGAAAGTTCTAAAAAAATGGGTGTGAGGGTGCTTTTAACCCTTCTACAATTTCTTTTGGGTTTTTTTATTTACCGAAAGGAGAGTAATCCTCTAAAATGCACTTTTGTCAAATTTAATTTAATTTGTTTCACTCATTTCTGAACAGCGTACAAAAATGTGTTTTTTATGTAAACTTTGAACTCTTCTTACATTTCGGTATATAAATAAATTGGGTCCAATCGACTTGTTTTGACCTCTACTACACGTGGTAGCTCTGTGTCCCAGCAATTTTGGGACACCCTGTATAATTAGGTAGGTCAAAATATGGGCTCTCCTTTTTCATTAGTATGAAAAATGGTATAGATATATGAATCAATAATTTGTTTTGGTAGATATGCTATTGCAGCATTTTATATTATCACATTAAATAAAAATATACTTGGAGAATCTCTGTCGTGTACTGTTTTCTATATTTTTTAAAGCACAATAATAAAGATCACCCGAAGACAATGTATATGCATGATTTATTGATACTAATAAATTAGAACTAAATCACGGAAATAGTAACTCAGGGCTACCTGTATTTTTTGCATGATTTAATTTTCCATAAATTATTTGCATTTAATTATTCTTGCAGATTTTCAAACAAAAAAATCCAGAAAAACACACTTCAATCGTCATTTTGGAAAAAAGAGCGTTAATTGTTCCTTTTGTGGCACAGCCTGTATTACTAGAAAAGAATTTTTAAATCACTACATTGCACACCAACCAAAATGGAATAAGAAAAATAATACAAAAAAAAGAAGCAATGCAAATGACACGATTTTGATAAAAGAGGTTTTGAAAGTTAATGTACAAAAATCTCCCACATGTGACATTTGTAAAAAAACATTTTCCCGGAATCAATCCCTCAACCATCATCGTCGAATTCATACTGGTGAAAAACCATTTAAATGTGACATTTGCTTTAAGAATTTTTCACAAAACTACAGTTTAAAAAGACACATACAAAGACACGCAAAAAACTTCGAATCCATTGAACATGACTTAGAAGATAAATCGTTAAATTGTAAAATATGTTTTAAAGTTTTTTCACATACTTATAAATTAAAACGACACATGCTGTGTCATGTCAAAAAACCAGATCAAGATGTAAAACCGTTCATGTGTGAAATATGTTCAAATCAATATATGTCCAAACATTCTTTAGACAACCATTTAAAGACACACACAGGAGATAGGCCATTTGCTTGTGATTTTTGTGATAGAAGGTTTTTTAGAAAAAAACTCTTGAAGGACCATCTATTAATTCATTCTGGAAAGAGACCATTTGAATGTGAACTTTGCTCTAAATCGTTTACGCAAAGATCTAAGTTGAACACGCACATGAAGATGCACGAAGAAGATAAACCTTTTAAGTGCGATATTTGTTTCAAAGGTTTTGTAGCAAACTGTAGGTTGACTAAACATATGTTAATACACAGAGACACTAAACGCTTTAAATGTGTTTACTGTCCAAAACAGTTTATTGAGAAAAGAAATTTAGATGCACATATTTTACTTCACGATGGCAAAAAACCTTTTAAATGTGATATTTGTTCTAAGGCCTTTACGTGGAAACATAATTTAAATCATCATATGAAAATACATAATGAAGAATCTTTTAAGTGTGATATTTGTCTCGAACATTTTCCTAGATATCATATTTTGAAAAATCACATTCGTACTCATTCTGATTTGTGATGTCTGTTTATATATTTAACAATTACCGAATGCTGGTATTTATAATAATCTTAGAATTATTTAATGGAAACACATTGGATTAATCCTGACTAAAGAATACAAACCTAAATGTCGCTTTTACAGGTTATAAAAAGCTTAAACAAAATGTCTGAGGCCGAAAGCAAATATGTCTCAAGTTGTTGGAAAATGGGATTATGAATTTATTGTGAAATATTTCTTCAGCTATTTCCCCAGTATTATACAGCATAATCTTCAGTTCTGTATAGCAAAAAAAATACCAAATTTTAAATGACACCAAATACTGTACATTCAATGAATTTGAAAATTTTAATCTCTGCTCTCTTTTAAAAAAGTAAATATTAATGATAGGAGCTATTTTTAAGATAGAAAAACATACAGTTAAAAATATCGAAATTAACAAAATGTTCATGGTGCTGGTGAACCATAGTCATCTGATGTTGGATACGGCCCTGATTTGTCTCAAATATCTATTGAATGAAGCAATCTCCTACACCAAGTAAATACGAGGAAGAACATTTAATCACATAATAACATAAATGGCGTTATTCCTAATAATTGTGATGTCCACATAATTGGTAGTGAATATTTTTATAAGTTAGATTAGTTGTATTTTTCTCTTTAACCAAGAATAAATACAGTCATCTTGAAGAAAACAAGCTGTGTAGAACAATGTATGTAATTTGAGTATAAGAAAAATGTAATATATTAATTTGTCATAATCTGTAATCGTTTTTCTGCAGGTTTAAGCATAAATATAATAAGCATTTTGAATTTTATAAACTATAACCTACTTCCCCCATACCCCTTTGATTTTTATTTAAATCTGAAATTTTATTATTTACCTGTCAATTTTGTTTTACTTTAAATTCTATAGTTACTTTAATTGATCATTTATATACCCACGTTGTGATAATGTTAAGATAAACCAGGATTCGAAGAATAATCTTTTAGGGGTGCCTTTTAACCTATGACGCCGGGGTTTTACGAATGACATTTTTAGGGAAAGTAGTCATCGACTTACCTGAATAAATCCCACATAGGCACAATGTATGCTCTGTGCCACATCGTTTCCACCTAAAAACATCTTTTAGGGGTGTCTTTTAACCTATGACGCCGGGGTTTTGGGAAACACATTTTTATGGAAAGTAGTCGTCAACTACCTGAATAAATCCCACATAGGCACAATGTGGCACAGAGCATCGTTTCCACCTAAAAAAAATATCTTTTAAGGGTGCCTTTTAACCTATGACGCCGGGTTTTAGAAAACTGACATTTTTATGGAAAGTAGTCATCAAATACCGAAATAAATACCACATAGAATATGGCACAAAGCGTCGTTTCCACGTAAAAAATAATAATCTTTTAGGACCTTTTAACCTATGACGCCGAGGTTTTAGAAAACTGATATTTTTAGGAAAAGGAGTCTACAAGTAACCGATTGAATTCCACATAACCAGAATGTGGCAAAACGCATCATTTTCTCGTAAAAAAATAATACCCTTTTAGAGGTGCATTTTAACCCTTTAGCGGGCAGTGGTTGGTATTTAAACCACTTAATTTTTCTGCTTGTACGATTTAGCGCGCAGGCTGAATTTAGACCAGATCTCTGCTAGACACTTACCGGTAACGTTTTCAGGCGAAATATCAACCCGTAATAAAATTTGGCGCGCTATTAAGTGCACGTCCCAGCTTCGTCCCTAACAAGTGGTCGAATATCTGCCTCTGTACGCATACAGTTAGATATTATTTGGTTGTGTATTGAAGTACTGATTTACTGTTTTTTTATTTTAAAAATAAATGTTTATATTCATTATTTTTTTTTTATTTTGAAAAACTGAACTAGTCGATATTTTGAGTACCACGATTCGAGCCCAAAGTGTGCCATCCTGAACGTACGCTGGTCGAAAAATTGACCACCTTCTACAACTCAAAGTTCAAACTTGTAATTTTTTTAAGACACAGTAATATACTTAGTTTTACTTATATAACCCACACATATCGTTATTTTTTGAAAACCTGGCAAAAAATAGTTTTGCGCGTTAAAGGGTTAACCTATGGCGCCGATGTTTTAGGAAACTAAAATTTTCAGGAAAAGTAGTGATCAAGTACCTGTTAAATCCCACATAGTTAGAAAGTGGTATAAAGAACCGTTTTCACGTAAAAAATAAGAATCTTTTTGGGGTGCCGTTTATCCTATGACGCCGGGGTTTTACAAAACATTACATTTTTACGGAAAGTAGTCATCATGTATTCAAATAAATCCCACATAGTCATAATGTGACATAAAGAATCGTTTCCACGTGAGAAAATAATAAACATTTTGGTTTAATTTGACGTCGAGACTGCCTAAAATATGTACAATAAATTTGGTCGCAAAATTAAATTTAACAATATTTAAGTAAAATTTACGTTGTCTCGACGTGGATTCGACATAAGTGGAGAATAAGACGACGTCGAAATTTGGTTTTATTGACCAAAATAGGTAGAATATTATATCTAAATCCACTTTATAGTAGCCCAGTACGTTTAGTTAATAATACTTATCTAGGGAAATTTGACGTCAGTATAACGTCATTTCGACGTTGATTTAACTTTCTTTAGGTATAGAAACTACAAACATATTTACAGATGACGAATGACTCCCAAGTGCACAAAAAGATAAATTTTATACTTACATATTTGGTATTTTTCATCTATAAAAATAGCAATTATTGTAGGAAGTGACCAACACAACTAAAACATGCAGAGGAAAGTGTTCCACAATGAGCCAAAAATCACATTCGATTTTTATTATTTATTTTCAAAATAATTTCAAAACTGTTATTGGTCAAAGCACTTACTTGAATATTATGATCTACCTTGTTCATCAATAAAAAAAAGTATGGTTTTTATTAAAAAATCTTACATTTGTCTCATTGTGGAACAATCGTGTTCCACGATGAGACATGCATTTATTTAGTACCACAATAAGAACATTGAAGAAAAAATTAGTCTACGCTGAAGAAGAATCCAGCCCACATTATAGTTATAGCGAAAATCGACTTAATTAAGAATGTCTCATCTTGAACATGCATCAAAATACACGTCTATAGGTCCAAAAATGGAACCAAGACAAAATCGCTAATAATAGGCTCTTTCTGGGAGGTGAGTTGGCTCCACATCCCCAACTAGCCATTCATAAAAGTGTATTTGTTGTGAAGTTCTCATCATCATCTATTGTATAGTCCAGGAGACAGTGACGATTTTCGGTATTTATTTTCCCAGTCAGCAAGCACGAATAGAGAATTGTAGGATTAGCAATTCTAAGCAAAATTCATATATATTTAGAGGGGGGGATCCGATGGGCTGAGGCCGAAAATGCGTCAAAACATACGAGAACACGGCCTTTTTTCCATTGATAAAAATAGTTTTAGTAGTAAGAGATGTACTGAAGTTAAGTAAAAAAATAGTCTGATTAATCTGTATGGATAATATATTTGGCAAGTGCATAAAATACACTTTCAAACGAGTTATGTACACAATTATATCTACGACCACAATTATTTAAAGAATGTTCCAGGTGTTTTGTATATTAAAGTGTACGCATAGGACACATAAATAAAATCTTATATCACAATGTTTCACCTAACCAGTTGGTTTATTTATAGAAATTAAACATAAAAACAGAAGAAAATAGGGAAATAAATTACATTTCCTTTTACACTTTTATATAATAATTGTTTTATTTAGAATTCACGAATCACTTATTACTACATTAATTGTAATTATTGTTAGTTTCGTTATGTCAAATCATTTATACTAGAGGTGTGAGGAAAATACAGTGAACTGTGGAACGCCAATATCGTTGGATGCGCGTGGTAGAAATGGTCCTATAATACTGCTAAAAACATAGCTAAATTTTCATGGAAACACTGTACTTTTGACATTTGCGATACTCCGACGCATATGCATTATTGATGTAATCTCATGATTTTACAGTAATAGTTTTTGCAATTTTAGTGTGATTTTTAGGTTATTATGGTTATTCATTTTATTTGGTTCTGATCTTTTGCGCTTTTAGATTATTTGTCTTTTATATAGTTTTTAATTTGAATTTTAATATTGTGGTCTATTTATATTTGATTGCTGCTTTTCGACTAGTGTTTTATTCTTTTTGTGTTAAAATAAGCTTTATAACCATTAAGTACATGCTTCTAGTTGATATCTACCTAATCGTCATCGGGTGCTTGCAAAAATGGGAAAAAGTGTATGGTTTTTTTGGTGTAAAGTTAGACGCCTTCATTTTTCAGGTAAGTATTTGTAGTTATTTTTTACTTGAAAGGATAGCAATATGTCCTGGTTCGGGGTGTAACTTTTGGGTTTTAGCTATCTGAGCCAAATTGTCGGCTAAGTGTCCTCTTTTAGGGCACCCAGAACCGAAAACTATATAGGTATATAATGTTTTTTTTTTTTAAATTATTTTTTAATATGTATGCAGCTTGGATGAGGGCTTTAGGAAGAGATCCTAAGACTGAACACTGACTGCTATAAATGCCGTTTTTAGAGCACATTTCATAGTAAGTGATTTCATTCTAGCAGCAATGAGGAAACGTTTAAAAAACATGCTGTACCAGCTATTACTTTAAGACCTCGTCTCTTTAAGTTATTATTACTTCATTCTAATGCATATATTAAAATGGTTTTTAACTTATGTCCTTATGATTAAAAGATGTAGGTATTTTAGTTGTTATAATAGAAATATATGATACTTTGTATTGACTGACCTACTGGCCACTGGTCATTCCACTTTTACTCCCTTTTTTCATAAATTATCAAATTATTTAAAAACAAATACATACCTAGCTATTTTCTGTAAATTACATTAAAATTTTAGTATTAATACTTTACTAATAAAACTTCACTTAATTTATCTTATATATATATATATATATATATATATATATATATATATATATATATATATATATATATATATATATATATATATATATATATATATATATATATATACACAACGGAAGAGTTAATTGGATTTTCTCCTTGTTGAGTTTCAAAAATAGTAATTTAACATGATTTAAAAACAAATACATGAAATGGGCAAAATTGGCCTGCAAAGGCACTTTGTAAACAATCTCACTTGTATCGATGTAACGTAATGCGCGAATTTAATCTGGCTCTCGTTAATAGATTGGCGTTCCATTTTAAATATACAGTTCACCGGGAATAGATTATTTAAATATACACGGACCGGGAAAACAAGTACGAAAAAATTCACTGGCTCCTGGACTAGTACTGTATCGAAGGAATTTTTATGAATGAAACAATATACGACCCTCCACAATTGCGGTCTACTCTACCTCCGCTGTTGTCAGACATTATTTTTTTTTTTTGACAATTTAAAGACCTAACAGTAATTCAAGCAAACGCAGTAACATTACTACAGTTAAAAACATCGCAAACTTGGCATCAATATTTTAATTTTATCCAAATATTGCATTTCTGTCGAGGATCATCCGCGTTGACTTCAGAAATTGTGTAATCTGTATTGGTTATATATATCTATAGTTAAAAGCACGTAAACTTGGCATCAATGTTCAGTCCGATTATTGAGTTTCTACCGCGGACACCACCGTTCATTCTTCAAAAATTTTGTAAATAATCCTATCTGTCTTGGTTATATATCTATGGTTGGCTCAGTGGTTAGAATCATGAATTTCAA